GAGCTAACAATATCAACTTAGTCTCTTTTCTCATAAGACTGAAAACCCTATTAATTTTAGTTAAATTCTAATACAAAACACTTATGCTTTTAATAGTATCAACAGATGAGGACAAAATATCATGATAACACCATTATCCAAGTATAGAACAATGTAAGTTATACATATCTGTACTTTTGGGGGAAAAACACTCTTTCAAAAACAAAAATCTAAGTGAAAAAGAGAGATTTAAAAACCTATATAATGTAACAAGTAAAACTATATTATAAGATGGGTCTTAGTCTGATGATCAATGGCTTGGGTTTGAATTACCTTGGACCACACAACCACATTCCATTTTCAACCTAAAACCAAGCAGTCAACATTTCAAATTCAGTATCTTAATGGAGACCTTTTTCTCTGAAGTCATTCAATTTCTCTAGAGAATAATCCCAAATCTGCCTGGGAAATATATGCCAGGAAACCAACATCCTGGGAGTGAAGTGGTGAATGGGAGATGGGGGAGCATACAGCTCAGCCTTCACTATGCATCTGCTCCCTTAAGCCCTTTTCAGTATGGCCTTATCCTTGACTGTGCTTGGTGACCTTGCATTCAAGACCTCTCTTGTTCAATGTCACCAGGGAATAACGTCCAGGTCTCCAATCACGATGGAGGTTGGGTTTAGTTGCCTGGAATGCAGTAGGAGATGAAATTTTAACTGCTTCTTATGCAGACTCTCATTCAACCCTCTGGATATTCCGCTCTAGCCGTCAGCCCCACCTTCTGACATATCTGGTACATTCAATTCCTAAGCTTTTCTGAGATTCTCTCGCATGAACCAGCTTGTTTTTCTTTTCCATTCCTCTCTGCAGGCTCTTAGGTTTCAGCTTTCTCCACTCTGCTGTCAGTAGCCACTAATTTATCTCTGCTCAGCATTTGAAAATGTGTTGACATATCTTGTGCACTGTGATCTTTTGTTGGGAAAATTTCCTGAGGTGCACTGGAATTGACCTCCAAAGGAGGATTGGCGAACAGACTGAAGAAAAATGCTGACAACTCTGGAATTAAATAGAGTTTATCAAGGGAACTTATCAACAGAATCTCGAGTGGCAGCAAGACAGGGAATCTCCACACCAGAAAGTGGATGAGGTCTCATATATATATATATATATATATACACACACACACACACACACACACACACACACACACATACATACAGTCTCTGGGAACACAAGTGGCTTATAACCAAGTGGCATGTGCTTGTTAAGAGCTATGTATTGCAAAGCAGTAAACAATGTAATTGGCTTACTGTTCTGTTAAGAACATTCCTTTCAGGTGATATGGGCTCTCTCCTCCCATGTCACTGAGAGCAACGTGCTTCTTAAGATGGCATTGGTCATGTCAAGCACTATAAACCATTTGCCTAACATGTTTTCTTCCTTTTTTTTGTGGAGTTTTAATCTAAAAAAATTTGTTGCTACCATTTTTTGGTGGGGTTTTCAACATAAGAAACATTTAAGACTGTAGAGAATTTTTATGAGTTTTTTTTTTCAGCCAAACTGACGACAATTGTTGGGAAGCAAAATCTCAATGGATTGAGAAAATGCTCCAGAGAATGGCAGTTTTATACTTCATTTTATACATTACAATCAGAGGAGGATGCTCAAAGGGTTACATGAAATCCACTGGTGGTAGCTTAGGGAGGTGGGAGAAAACAAAGGGGGGAAATCTCTGGGGTTGGATAAAAAGCAAACTGAAGAGACCCATACTTCTTTTATATTTGTGGGTATAGGATAGTTTGCAGTTCATAATTAACATGATAATAATAACAATGAGGGGTTTTGTGGTCTCTGCTCTGGTACAGTGAGGGGTCCATAAAAAAGAAATTACCCAGATAGTCCAAAGGTAGTATGACATCATAGATGCAAAAAGACAATAGATAGGCTCAGTTAAGGTAAAGATTAATTTTTGTCAGGGAAGACACTGGCCTAGGACATGACTACCCGCCATGAATTGATTTTAGTTAGAAAGTTTTAGTTTCAGACCATCCTATGCGGTTACTTTAGGTCTCAGTTCATAAGACCCACCTTGCAGGCCTCCCTTGAGCTTGTCAGGTTCAGCATGTGGCCCAAGAGGTTTTATGGGAAGAAGTACAGATAACACCCCTGTTCAATCTACCACAACTAATGGGAAGCCCAGTCCTCCCTCAAGTTTTCCTTTTGGGGACCCTACTTGCCATGCCCAACTCAACTCATCCTCACCAACTTTGGGGAACACATAGCTCATTCCACTGCACCTCACACCAGGTGCTCTCTCACCCTGTTTATACTATTGTTTCTGGAATTCTCACTTCTCTATTGACCCACACACTACTCACTGAGGCTTCTTTGATACAAACCTCCGCGTTTTGTAAAGATCTCTGTTTTAGAATTTATTTCAGATATTTTTGTGTTGACATAAAAAAGGGGGGGTTCTATGGAAAGCAACCTCACAGGGTGATTTGATCATGAATTCCTAACTGGGCAGATCATGGTGGGTAGTCATTACCCAGGCCTGTCCATTGTTCTTTTTTTTTTTAATCCTCACCCAAGGATATTTTCCCATTTATTTTCAGATAAAGCAGGAGGGAGGGAGAGAGGAAGAGAGAGATAGAAACACCGATGTGAGAGAGACACATTGATTGGTTGCCTCCCACACCACCCCAACCGGGGCCAAGGACCAACTGCAACTGAGCAGTGTGCCCTTGGTGGGAATGGAATCCAGGACTCTTTGATCCACAGGCCAACGCTCTAACTGCTGAGCCAAACTGGCCAGGGCTGTCCATTGTTCTTATGTACACAGGGTAACACATTTTTTAAATATCAGAAGTAATATTCCTCTAAGGGGTTATTAACCCTCAAAACAGTATATATCTTCTTAACTATCCTGTAATCCAATCCCTGCCTCACTTTCTCCAGTCATCCTTATGTTCCCTCCTTAATTTCAAATGCATAAAAGAAGCTGCAAAACTGTTATTTTTGGGAACATTTGAGATCTTGCTCCCTGGCACGTCGTCAGTTTGGCTCAAATACACTCTTATAACAATTCTCTACAGGTTTGGATGTTTCTTATGTTGACAGTATCTTCATTAGTTGTGTAGGAATGTGTCTCCTGCATCTTGAGGGCTGGGACTTGACCTTGTTCAATACTGATCTCCCTAAGACGATGCTTTGTGAATAGATATTTTCTAAGTGTTCTACTGGAATAAATTGAAATTATATTTGTTCCTCTGTTATGTTTCTGAGATATATTTTTCTCGAATGGGATTACTATGTGTGATAGACTGAGTTTCTGGTTCCCATTCTTCACTTCAGTGTGAGTGAGTTACACACCCATACCCTCATCATGCCTATTCCCTGCTTCCTTGCTTTGGCTGTCGCCGTGTGATTTGCTTTGACCAATGACATATTAGTGGACATGATGCAAAGATTTGGGATGAGGTTATGTGACTGGGCATGCTCTTGTCCTTTCGTCACTGGTAGTTCTAGGATGAGAGATGTTTGGCGCAGAGCTGCTCTGAAGACCTGCAGCTTGGACAGCTATCCAGCTGAACTGCAGACCTGGGAATGTGGTAATAAATATTTCTTGTATGCCACTTAGTTTTGGGATCAGTTTGATCAGTAGTGATACCTGACTAATGTCGTAGGGAATGAATCATTTTATAACCCTTGTTCTACACCGGTTTGCTCTCTAGGAAACCGGAAACCAATTTACCATGCCATCAGCATGATATATGTATACTTGCATATATACTCATGTGGCTGTCCTTAGTTTGATCATAAAATTTATTTTTAAATGGCTTAAGAAAAGATAATAAAACAATAACCACACCACCAAAACAACTTGGAACCTTACATAGCTTCATTCCAGACCGAATCTATTATTTTACAATCTTTTTTCTCTCACAATAATAAACCCAACAAAGATCTGTGTAATTTTCTTGATCTTTAATAACCATGAGTTTATAGTATAATTATACATAACCCATATAGTTGTTAATCGTGTGGTACTACTAATCTTATTTTTACAAAATTAGCCTTTTGATAAAGATTTTTTCAATGGTAGATATGACAAAATATTTATATTTAGTAATCTTTTCATCAAATGCTATTATTCCTTTCGACATCCACAATTCATTTTTAAATTTGTCAACGCCTAGCTTTGTTAATTCCATAATAGAAATAAAAATGAAACATGGTGGTCAAAAAAACTCTTTTATAATTTCATTGAAAGTATACCAATTTATTAAACTCAGGCTGTATGGATTTTTTTCTTTAGTTCAAATACTCTATTATGCAAATGTCTTGATGGAGCTCTACTTTTTTCTCTTACTCCAGAACAGACGTCAGAGTCCAGGAGAGAAAAGGTGCATAATAATAACTGTGCATCTATTTGCTAAGTATTTGTACAAAGAGTAGATTCTTCACAAATATGCACAAGTAAGAATTTTCTACTTTCAACACACCTCACAATTTACTGAGACATGGCATTTTATTTTGCAGCCATGGTTAAGAATCCTACCGTAAGGAGCATTCCTTAACACCAAGTTATGCTTTAATTAAGAAAATGAATTGCCTAAGTAATCAGAGAAAACGGTATTGTTAAAAAGTTCTATAATTGAAGCTTGGCTGAAAGAGACATAGACAAAGCGAGGGGTCCTTGGGCTCTTGAGCTAGTCCAAGTTTAACAAGGTCCATTGAGGTTCCTTTACAATTCCAGTGGGAACCAGTCAAAAGAAAGTCATGCTCCTCTTGTTCTCCTGACCCTCAATTCAATTATACAGTAACAGACTTTAACAATCAGGAAACAAAGACTTCATTGCCCAATTTAACCTTCCAAGCCCCGGAGCTGTATGGTCCGTTAATCCAGCTCACAAAAGCATGCCTGCTGCTCTTTTCATTCTCCGCGAGGCTGGGCAGAGCTCCGCAGCTGATCAGCTCTGGAACGTCCTAGCAGCGTGCCGGGGCCTCCGATGTTTATTTAGCGGCTTCTGGCTCCGCGAGGGCCCTCTGGGGCTGGCTTTGCAAGCGCTCGCCCGCAGAGGAGCTATGTACCGACGTAGCTACGTCTTCCAAACCCGCAAGGAGCAGTACGAGCGAGCCGAGGAGGCGCCCCGCCGCCTGCCCAGGGGACAGTCTGTCGCGCCGGATGTGGCAGCGCTGCAGGGGCTCGGCGAGCGCGTGGCCGCCCACGTCCAGCGGGCCCGCGCGCTCGAGCAGCGCCACGGTGTCCTGAGGCGGCAGCTGGATGCCTTTCAGCGCCTGGGCGAGCGGGCCGGGCCGGAGGATGCCCTCGTCCGCCAAGTGGAAGGCAACCGCCAGCGCTCCCGGGACCTGGCGGCTGAGCGCGCCCGGTTGGAGCTCAGGAACGCAGAGGCACAACGCGCGCTTGACGAGTACCGTAGCAAGTAAGCATCGGTCGTGGGAGGAAACTGAGGCAGGGCGGATCCTAGAGCAGGCTGCTATCCGAGGTTGGAGGACCATCTCCAGCCTTCATCCCTGCAGAGTGGGGCGGGGGCATGCTCGTGGTGCATTTCCCTAAGATAAGACTAGCTTCTATTTTGATGGTACTTCACAGTTTACATTAAATGTTTTCATTTACTTTTAATATGTTTTAAAATTTAGATATTATTTCCGTATAATAACATGCATAGGTTTCAAGGACATAGTTCACTGAGTTTTAACAAATGTATATATACCTATGTAACTATCAAAACAAGCAAACTATTTGCTGTACCTTAGAAAGTTCCCTTCTGTTCTTTCCAAGTCAATCTTAAGTTGTCATCCCGCCCCCTACCCACCCCCCAAACCCAGAGGCACTCAGTGTTCTTATTTGTATCACCATAGATTAATTTTGCCTGTTCTAGAATTTCATAAAAAAGGGATATTACAGACATACTCTTATGTGTCTGGCTTCTTTTGCTCATTACAGTATTTTTTGAGGTGCATTAATGTTATCTAATCCTCACAGCCAGTTATAGACTGTATTTGCATGCACCTATTTAACAGATGAGGAGACCGAGGCTCAGAAAATGTAGGGATTTGGAACAAGGTCACATAGCTAGTGAATTGCTTCACTGGGACTGGATTGAAGAGTCGGGCATCCTAAGTCTATTCGTCTTCACTGCATCATAGCCAACACCTGGAAATTGTTTCAATGTGTGCCTTCCAGAGTCTTGCTATTCGAAGTGTGGTCCATGGACCAGCAGCATTGGCATCACCCAGGAGCTTGTTAGAAATGGAGACTGTAGGGCTCACCCCAGAGCTTCTGAATCAGAAGCTGCATTTTAACAAGACTCCTCAGTGATTTGTAGTTTAAGAAGTTAAACACTGAAATTTCAGAAGCCCTGGTCCAGGGCATGGTCCCCCTTTCGACAGACTGAATAATGTGTTAAAATTAGCTTTAAAAAGAAGGATGCTCAGCAATTTGTCAACATCTTTCCCAGTTATAAATGTGTGTGCTCTTTGACTCAGCAGGACTATTTCAAGGAATCTGCTGTATGATATTCCAGCAGGTGTCAAGTGGCATGCCGACAAAGATATTCACTGCCATGGGATCTGCAGTAGCAAAAGCCTGGAACCAACCTAAATACCTATTAGTAGGAGTTAGGTTATAAAATTGTGCTTCATTCATACAATGGGATACTATGCAATTGTGGGGGAAAAAAACAAGAATAGTGTGTGTTATTACCATTTATTTTTTAAAAAGAGGGGGAAAAGTAGACACTTTTTTTTTTTTTTTTGCTTGCATAAGGAAAAAGAGGGCACAAGCACACACACAAAAAACTAATGGCACTGGTTACATGAGGGGAATAGGGAGTAGGAATGAGGCAATTGGAGTCAGAGGCAGGAGGGAGACTTTAACTGAACATCCTTTTATGTAGTTTAAAAATACTGTCTAGCCATGTAAGAGGTTTATTCATTTAAAAATTATATAAATTAATTAAAAATATATAGAAGTTCAGGTCCCATCCTTGGCCTCAAGTTGGGCCCAGGAATTTAAATTTTTTTAATCTCCACTGGCAATCCCAGTGAACAACCTGGCCTAAAGTAGCCAGAGGGCTTTCTCCAAATGAGTTCTCTGTTTGAGTTCCACATTGTCAGTACAAATCTAGGGCAGGTTATTCAGTGTTGTGTACTGGGCATATTTATCAGGTCAAATCATTCATTCCTATTTGTCCTTCTGTTTTTGGTTTTGATCCAGAGAAACATTTGGAGCTGGAAAAAGGGAACTGAAGATTCACCTGTTATAGCCCTTCATGGGAAAATGAGGCTTGGAGAGAGCCTTTGGGTGGCAGGACTTGAATTCGAGTTTTCTTGCCCTGGGTCCACACTCTTTGTAGAACACTGTCTTGGAGAGAAGTAGTTCTTGGACTCCTGTGGTGTGAGGTCTAGTGACAGGACCTAGACCTCATTCAAATGAAGCTCATGTTCTCTAGAGCAAAGGAAAGTGTATGCTGGTTCAGATGCCCAGCTCTATGAGCCAGCGGGATCCCCTATATCCCCACATAACCTTTACCTGGTCATTAGACCACAATCTACTGTGATTTGTCTGGGCAAGCATGACTCCCTTGAGCCTTCAATAAAGGAATGGCCATATTGCGTTTTTCTGATTTCACTTGGTTCTGAGTTATATCTCCATTATGGAGCAGTCCCTTCAGGCTCTGTGATTTATTTAAAAGGTGAAAGATTTTTGTGATCTGAAGAGAAACGAGAGTATTTAATACCCATTAATTTATTCCGTCTCCTGCCCCCTTGGAGAACATTTGGTATTCTGACTGGGGTAGTAAGATATGAAAATTATTATAAAAACCATAAGCATCCACATGCATGGGTATACACACACCAAGTTTGGTTTCATATTCTAGAGGGGAGTTGATGGCTAACCAAAGCAGGTAAAAATAATGCAGAAATGAGCATTATTATAATGCAGCCTTATTAGGCATATTTTCTACTTGGATAGTGGAATAATTTCAAAATCAGGTCTTTAGCATTTCAAATAAAGACTAAATATAATAAAACTAAATAAAAACAAATAAAACCATCAATGTTGAATATGGTCAATTATCCAGATTGCTGAAAACCAAAATAATTATATAGAACAATTAGATAATTGAAGCCAAAGTGTTTTTTTTTACTTTATGAATTCACTTAAATGAATATATATGAATGTATCTTGAATTCTTATCATGAGGTTTTATACTAAAGTCACTTGTCTTTATTATAATGTCTAGACTTTTCTGTAGCATGAAAATTATGTTGTTTATGAAACTTGTTTTTAAAGCTATAGATATTCTTAAGAAGTTTCAAGCAGGAAAAAGCAATGAGAAAATTAGATTTTGTTAACAGTTTTATTTTCAAAGCTAATTAATTATAAAAACAAAAAATAATTTCTGGCCCCATTATAGCTACACACAAAAGAAACTATTAAATGTGACATCTTGGCGTGAAATGTGAAACTTGTGCAACTGTGGTTTTTTTTTTTTTTTTTTTTAATTCTTTATTGATTTTTAGAGAGAGAGAAAGGGAGAGAGAGAAACATCGATGAGAGAGAACATCGATTGGCCACCTCCTGCCTGTCCCCCAATGGGGATTTGGCCCACAATCTGGGCATGTGCCCAGACCGGGAATCGAACCAGTGACCTCTTGGTGCATGGGTTGATGCTCAACCTCTGAGGCAAAGCCGCAGGGCACAACTGTGTTTTTATGTAACTTCATGCCTCTCTTAGTTTGGAGTCTTTCAGGAGTGGAGCCTGAGACAGGCTTCTGAGGGCAAGTAGCTTATTTGAGGACAAGATCACCTCAGGGAGCACAGGTTGGGGAGTGAAAAAAAGGCAGAAAGGGAAGGCAGCTAACACTGAGTGCATTATTTAGCAAGTTACTGCTGTGGCAACTGGGACTAACCTGCAGGGTGAAAAACACATCTCACTTGTCATAGCTGAGGGCACAAGAGCTGGAGTATTTATGCACTCACCTTCCTGCCAGGGCACCCTCTGGCCCATCTGGCCTGTCTTGCTCACTGGTCCAGAGCAGTTCTTTGCTGTGCAGAGATGATGCCACAAGGTTTGCCCTGCTCTATAGATAGGTCATAAGATATTATTCCTGGTGATAACTCTTACTATGGGCAGGGTCCCTAATTTAAATTCTTTAAGGGTAAAAGTTTCTTGGGCATCCACAGGGTCTTGCTTGCTTTTAGCTCAAAATAATTCACCTGCCAAGCAGGGAGGAGGGGTCAACGAGGGAAGAAAGGGGGGATATCTGTAATACTTTCAACAATAAAGATAACAACAAAATAATTCATATGCCACAGTGGCACATTTTGGGGAGGTCTGTTCTGAACCCCTTCAGTGGTAAGAATAGCTGCTATCTTCCAGGGTTTTGTGAGGTTTAAATGCATAATCCAGAAACACTGACAAGTGTTCATAAATACAATAGTATAAGGAATCCAAACAAGGTAGGTTAATGTCGTTTGTCGCAGAGCAGACTCCCAGTCTCTGCGCCACTGTTGTGCTTGGGTTCCAGGTATGCTGAGATGTGATCCCCTCATCCTCGGGGTGGCTGGGAAGGAAGTGCTGGGGGGTGGAGTTGGGCCTCCAGGCTGGGAGACCCATGTGTGATGCCCATCTCAGCACTTTCTGTGTGTGCCATGATGTGAAATAGGTTGGGAAGCGGTGGGCTTGGAAATGCAGCATTAGCTTCTGTTTTAAAATTAGGAACCTCTTCTAAAAGAGAGGGCATAATACTCATATGCAATTAAATTTAATGCTAATTATGTGATCAATACTTGTGGAATCACAGAAGCTGCTCAACTTTCACTTATGTTTCCAATTTGCAGGTATGAAAATGAATGTGAATGTCAAGTGCTGCTAAAAGAAATGCTTGAGAGGCTTAACAAGGTGAGCTGAGCATATCCTTGGGTTTGAGTAGATTAATGACAGAATTGAACTAAATGGCTGCGATGAGTATTTCCCACACCTCTTGGTGGTATTTCAAGATTCACCTGTTTCTTTTGCTGTCACTCTCTTTCTTGACTTTGTAATTTCAATTAAATGTTTGTGTGAACTCACACACCTAGACACACATTCCTCTACTGCAAGATACAGGAGCTTGAGAGAGAACCCTCACTACTAAGCTTATTGCTTGTGCTGGGCTATCAGAACGTGCCAGCATGACAGTGACTGGCTTTGTTTTGCCATTCAGACATCCTGATCCCAAAGACCAAACTTAGGAGGGAACTTGCTTTGGGCAGTGCTTATTTGGATGCAGTGATACCTCTGTCCTGTTAGCTAAGAGTCTTGAGATTACTTCTCCACAGGAAAACTTTCAAGAGAGCCGAGGAAAAAAATTCCATTTCCCCTCAAGCTCCTCACTCTCAGAGCAGCCACATGAGGGCACCAGGGATTCTTAGCTTCTTTCTGGAGACCCTCCTGCAGAGGTTGTGTGGTGCTGTTCTTTGGATGAGCAACTTCCTTCTGATTCCCCCATTATCCTGACAGATGGATTTTCTGCTTTAGCATGGAGAATATTACTAGCAAACAGCAGAATAATCCTGGACCACAGAGGTTGGACAAACCAGGGACGGCAAATAGCTGTAAGCATTATCTTTTCCTGATCATCTCAGAGCTCAAATGTCAGAGTAGAAGGACCCATGGAGACTGTATAGTTGAAGTGTAGTTGGATGATTTCTTGTTCAGGGCCCATGGCTGCCTTTCCCCTCTCACCTTGCCCTGCCTATAATCTCATCAGAATTGCTGATAAAACATGGCACCCTTCCCTGCCATGCCCAGATGTGTCCTTAAGATTCTTCTCTACACGGAACTCCAGGCAACCTCTTCAGACAGTCAGTGTTAGCTCAGGATACCTGTTTTCTGTGGCTTTGTCCAAACTCAGTTGTCTAGGATTATTCTGCTGGTAGATGGGAAAGTCAGTTCGGTTTGCAGAAACTGAATTTTATGTTTGTGTTACCTACCACCTGATATTTCTGTGTCCTTCTCTGTGGGAGCATATAATATATTGTCCAAACCAGGGCACTGTGTGAAAGGAGGTGCTTACACTAATTACACAGTTTATTTGACAGAAACTGGGACTGTCTCAAGCCAGCAGGAACATATGAGCACGCCAGATATAAACACAAAGATGGTGGCAAGAGTGTGCTTTAGGAGACACAGGCGCTGTGATTGGCCTTGTATTAATGGTTACAATGGCCCAAGCCTGTTGGAAGTCTGAGCTGAGCTTTGGGCCTTAGTAGCATCTGATATTACCCAGCTGCTTTGCTGACACTAGCAGTTCATTCTGTTTTTGGTTTTGGTGGTGATCTCAGGTTGCCAGATGTGGGCTCCATCTTGTCTACAGATCACCTCCCTCAGGGACTTAGGTACCTGACATCCTTCAGTTTAAGGCCAGTCCAGTCCCTTCCCAACACCTCCATGCTTTGGTTTGAGTATTTGTCCTTGCTGCATGAAGAGCTCTCTGGAGTTACCTCTAAGGTTGTCACTCACCTGGTGTCATATTGTGCATTCCTTAAAGAAGAGTGAGAAAGATTGTAGTCCCTCCTTTACCTCTGGTAAAAAATGACACTGGATTTAAAAACAAGCTCAGACCTTCCATTGTTTTTCTCTTATTATAAAAGCAAAGTATGATCTGGCCGGTGTGGCTCAGTGGTTGAGTGTCAACCCATGCACCAAGAGGTTGCCAATTTGATTCCTGGTCAGGACTCATGCCCAGGTTGTGCGCCAAATCCCCAGTGGGGAGCATGCAGGAGGTGGCCAATCGATGTTCTCTTTCATTGATGTTTCTATCTTTCTCTCCCTCTCACTTCCTCTCTCTCTAAAATCAATAAAGGAAAAAAATTTCAAAAAAAATAAAAGCAAAGTATGTTCTCAGTAGAAAATAAGATAGTAGAGATCATGAAAAATAAGGGAAAGCCATCCTATCATTTCATCCCTCTGAGAACACAGCTGTCACATCTTTGTGCACAGGTGACAGCATGTGGATCATTGAAGCGCCAGCCCTGTTAGAAAGTCATGAAAGGTTCTGGGGAAATATGCTATCAGGGATGTGGGTGAGGGCCAGCTCAGGACATTGTTGTGGCTGTTCCCGGGGTCCAGGGAAAGACACTTCTGCCCACAATTGGGCTGTGCTGTCCAAAGAGGAGTGTAACTTGTTAACAGGCCCCTTCACAGTACTGCTGAGTATTTATGAGACTTTGGGTGAATTGTCTCATCTCTCTGAGATTCAGCTTCTTCATCTGCAAAATGGGAACAATAATAGTTCCCACCATCATAGGAGTAGGTGTCTGTCTGCGTGCCTCCTGAGAATTACATGTCTTAACAATGTATGTGACTTGCCTGTCATGGTTATCACTACAGAGCACTTGATGTGATGAATGTCAACTTAGTTTTCTCCAGCATGTGGGGTGCATAACCCTGGTGCAGTGGGAGATGATCTTAGATGGTGCATGGAGGAAAACCGTTGTAATAATTGTGCATTTATTTTTATGATTACCTTTTCTTTACAGCAGGTGACATAAAAAAGTTTCTTTTAAATACATGCAAATAAGAATGAATAAATTTGAAGAAAATATAGGGCATTTGAATAATGCAATAAGTGGAACTCGGATGTAGCAGAAATCATGAACACAGCATGCAGATACAGCAATTTGGGAGGTCCTTGCACTAGCTATGGGAGCCTCAGAACAGCCTTGTGGTTATTGGTTCACCCCCAGAAATGACTAGTCCAGCCCCCTCTTTCTTTTTAAAAAAATATGTTTGTATTGATTGATTCTTTAGAGAGAGAGAGATAAAAACATTGATGTGCGAGAGAAACATAGATCGGCTGCATCCTGTACGCCCCCCACTGGGGATGGAGCCTGCAACCTGGGCATGTGCCCTGACCAGGAATTGAACCGGGACCTCTCAGTCCATGAGATGATGCTCAATCCATGGAGCCACATCAGCCAGGCAAGCCCCCTCTCTTTGCCAATGAGGAAACTCACTCTTGGTGAAGTTATAACTTCAGAGCCCCACCACCTACATATGGCAGGTATAGGAGTAGAGTCTTTGTGTCCATGGCTCATTCTCCACCTCCCAAGGATAGTCAGGGAATTTGTCTCCCTGGAGACGGACACAAAGCCAGTGTCTCTGGGTAAAGATGGCCCCTTCACACTTGATGTTGGTGCCCCATCCATCTCCCCTGGGCCACCCCCAAGGTCACAGATATGCTGAGCACTTCCTGTATCTTTGTCCTGTATCATACTGGCAGCTTCCTCTATCTTTCTGCCCATGGGAATGTGTGTGATCTGCATGAGGCACAGTCCAGAAGTGTGGGCATTGGCATCCCAGGAGCGACCCTGGGCCATTGAGGGACAGGAGAAGATGGGTGAGTCTCTCATCTGGCTTACCCCCTATAGCAATAGTTCAGAGGTCATTTCCTCAATCTCTCAGAGTCCAGAGTGATGACCTGCTCATTATACACCTTTATTGGCTTTCTTTCTTTCCTTATATCACTCCCGTCTCCTCTACTGGTGCTCCTGGAATCACCTTTCAGATAAATGACATGTCTTCGAACCTTGACTCGGGCTCTGCTTCTGAGGAACCCAAACTAAGACAGCCCCTCAAAGGGTCAGCAGGTGACAACTAGACCTTTAGTTTCTCTGTCCATTAAGATGTCAAATGGGAAGAAGGAGGTGAAATGGAAGAGTAGAATTCACATCTTGTTGGCTGATCATATCAATGATTTTGGTCAACAAATCTTTGAATGTGTACACATTTCAGATCAAGAAGATTTTGACTATAACTCAGTCTCAATGCTCATTTCCTTTTGTCTCAAAAAAGGGATTCATCCCTTGGTGTGGCTATGGGAAATGGGGTACAGCTGGACTCATTGACCTAGTATTTGAATCTTGCTTGGAAAATATCTCAAGGTATGTAACAGGACTGATTACTACTGCTTTTACAAAACTGCTGTCAATTAATGCCTCCCATGAAATTAAACGTCCATCTAAATAAAGAGCTACTGTATTTTGCCCTGGTCAGTGTGGCTCAGTTGGTTGGGCATCATCTCATGCATCAAAAGGCTGCCAGTTCAATTTTTGGTCAGAACTCATATCTGCATTGTGGGTTTGATCCCCAGTCAGGGGCATGCAGGAGGTACCAACTGATTTTGCTCTCACATCGATATTTCTCTCTCTCTCTCTCTCTTTCCCTTCCTTTCTATCGAAAACATTAACAAAAATATTTAAAAAGAGCTACTCTATTTAAAATTTTTTTCCTTTATTGATTTTAGAGAGAGGGAGAGAGAGAGATAGAAATATGGATGAGAGAGAACATCAATTGGCCACCCCCTGCATGCCCCACACTAGGGACTGGGCCCACAACCTGGGCATGTGTTCCCACCAGGAATCGAACCGGCGACTTCTTGGTGCATGGGTAGATGTTCAACTGCTGAGCCACACCAGCCGGACATTACTCTCTCTATATATTTTTTTTATCTTCACCCTAGGACATTTTTGCATTCATCTTCAGATAGAGCAGGAGGGAGAGAGGGAGGAAGAGAGACAGAGAAACACCAACGTGAGAGAGACACACTGAGTGGTTGCCACCCACACGATCCCAATCGGGGCCAGGGACAAACTGCAGCCGAGGTACATGCTCTTAGCAGGAACCAAAAACGGGACTTTTTTGTCCATGGGCCGACACTTTAACCACTGAGCCAAACTGGCCAGGGCAAATTTTTTAATAGCAAGAAAACTAAAGCAAGACACTCTTTGCTATGCACTTTGAAATGAAATAAATTCCTACTTACATACTATAGCCAAAGTTATTCAGATTTAAGACTTTGGATGTAGTAAGAATTCCTGCTGATTTTTAAGTATTTGGGTTTGGCTAACCTCTAAGAC